GAGAGTGTGTGTGTGTGTGAGGGGGGGGGTGTGCGGGTGGGTGTGAGTGTTTGTGTGTGTGCCTGTGAGTGTTAGGGAGGGGGGTAGAAAAAGAGAAAGAGAGAGAGAGAGCGAGAGAGATGGAGAGAGAGATAGAGAGAGACAGAGAGACAGTGAGACAGAGACAGGGACAGAGACATAGAAAGAGACAGAGTCAGAGACAGAAAGAAAAAAAGGACAGGGAGGGGCAGAGACAGACTTACACGCAGACATATAAATAAACAAACAGTGCAAGATGGAAAGAATGAGGGAAGGAGATAATACCACAGCAAAGTTCTACATCGTAACTCACCTCCTCCAGCGTGACGTCAGTCCTGATGACGCAGCCATCGTCCGCCTCCTGCTGCACATAGTATCGGCTGAACGGGCCGTCCAGAGCTCTTTTCGCCCTGGCGTTCGTCGCCTTGGAGATGATCCGGAAGTTCCACCCGACGTACCGCGAGAACTTCCGAGGCACGTGCGAGATGTCCGTGTAGAAGAGGCGGAAGGCAAGATACTTCCCCGTAGAGTCAGCTTCCACCATCCACGCCTGCTTGTCGCGGTCGTAGAAGTGCGCCCGACTCTGATTGTTGCTTCTGGAGAAAGCGTTCAAGTACACCTCGCTGACGGACACCACGGAGATCATCTCTACCTTCACCCTGAGCGTGGACCGACCACGTGACAGCCTGTGGACTGAGGCACCGATCGTGAAAGGTTCCCCGACCCCAGAGGCGTCGAGGACCTGCTCTAAGTCACCGGAATCGAAGGTCCCCTCGTCTCCCAAGATTATCCTGTACCGGACGTAACACAGATGGTCAAAGCTGGTATGCCGCTGAAGCTGAACTTCCACGCTCCCGTCCGCCTCAGCTACGCTGTTGTCGGGGAAAAGTGAAATACTCCAATCAGACAGGCCGAACATGAAGTACGTTGACTCCATACGGTCGCCGTATCCATGCCTAGAACCGCCACTCCCCCCGCCTTCTTTTGGTAAGCGCATAAAGCACTCGTAGATGCTGTGAATGTTCCGCATCTCGACCTCCACCAGAAGATCTCCAGACTCGTGGAGGAAGTTGCGCTTGATCAAATCGTCTATCTCAATGAAAGTCTTTCTGCCAAAAACGTTAGTCTCCGGCGAGAACTCGCAGCTTTTCTCAATGAAACTCACATTTTTTGTGAAGTGGTCCCTGTATCGAACAAAAAGAAAAAGATTGTAAGTGTAAACGTTTGACGCGGCCATCAACATTATCATCATCATTGCCTTTCTCACCCTGCACCATGGTATAGGCCACGGACAAACACCTTCCACCTTTTTCTATCCTGGGCTAGCCTCTTGATGTTATTTCTTGTCTTCCCACTTTCCTGTACATCGATTTCTGTGATTCTTCTCCAGGTTCCACGCGATCTTCCCCTTGATCTGCCATCAACATAACTTGGATAATTTAGGAGATGGACCGCTCGGATCCTGCCTGGGCCAACCTAAGCTGGGAGGATGCAACGACCCAGCAGACAGACTGAGATACTCGAATCAAACGAACGTTCCTCACACAGGAATCAAACTCACATCTTGGGTGTAACGGTGAAGAGCTGGTGCAAAACAGATTGGTTTTGTAATGGTTTTGATGCCCATTTTCAATACTATAAAGTTTTTAAAGATCGGGGCGACCGAGTGAAGTGTTTATCTCTAATAGGACCGAGCCAAGTTCTTTGCGAGCAATGAAATCTCATGGCACAAAAAGTTGCAAATTCGAAACAAAGTTATTGGCACCGTTGTCCAACACTATACCAATTGAGCTAACGATGCATCCCAATACACACACACACACACACACACACACTCACACACACACACACACACACACACACACACACACCCGTATGGTTTCTTCTACATGTCGACTTTTACAAGTATTTTATGTAACTCTAGTTGCGAAATGTCCCAAAGTTTCCTGAAGGTTAACGCATAAGTTTGATCATCACAAAAATCTTTCCCTAATAGATCTAACAACACTTTCATGTACCTCACTATGTCAGCAAAAAAAAGCATTAAGAAATTGCAAGGATTCAAAGCTAAATCTATCACCTGTTCACGACCGTGAAGGAGAAGTCGAGGCGACAGCGGAGTCCCTGGGAGGGTGTCTGAAGCTTGAGGAAGGCGCCAATATGACGGTCGCTGCGTACAAAACTCACGTTCCATCTCTGGAAACCGTACACGAAGTCCTGATGAGGGGAAAACAGCGTGTTGTAGACATAAGTTGAGTTGTTGATTGTTTGTTTTGCTAAAAGTTTCACCGCACTTGCAGCACAATTAGGCCATAATATAAGTGCCGAAGATGTGTGGTGTTACAAGAGAGTCACATCACAAAAAAAGAAGGAGGAGAAATATGGACGATAGAAAAGAAGAGTACCCACCAACCACTCACGGTTGTTGGTTTAGTTCAAGTAAAGAAAAGCACATCAATACAATAACGACCATACATTTAGCGGAGCGGAAAGAGCAACTAAACAGACAAAATCAACAGAAGGAAAGAACGTAAAAAGGATCTACCGGCAGAGAGTTAAATGTTCGGGCATTCCATTAGCTAAAGACAATCTATTATTTTACATATTTATGTGACTGTGCGTACTAGCAGATTTTGCAACTTCAGGGCAAATATAGTAACATTGGTGCTGTGTGTAAGCTGTATAATGGACGCCAATCTCAATTTGATGTCAAAAGTTAATATTCTTTAAGATCTCAATTCAGCATCCTTTTTCATATCAACATGCTACACGAGAAAAAGAGATCCAATTTATTTTCACTGATTCTCGAATCTTTATTCTGTCATCTAAAACATGTATTCAAGGTTTGCCTTTTAATGCAAATCTCTTTCAGTTCTGTTTGACGCAAATGGACGTCGATATGGACAGAAAAATGTGTTTTGATCTGCTCCGCATGCTGTTTTGACGATTTTGTATGGTGAATAGGCAATCCATCATGACAAAAATGACATCACTATAATATGCTAGCTTCCTTTTGACAAAACACAGAACTCAACTTCTTTGCATTGCAAAGCCCTGTATATAACTAGGAATATAAACGTCATCATCATCATTGCCTTTCTCACCCAGGGGCAGGATATAGGCCACGAACAAACACTCTCCACCTTTCCCTATCCTGGGCTAGTCGCTTGATGTCAAGGAATATAAACGTCCGTTGGGTGAAAACGCAAAATCTCCCTCGGAATAATGTTATTTTCCCCCACTTAATTACATATATTTGTGGTATGTGCTTAAATCCCATTCAACCATATATGTTTATATAAGAGGTCGGGCCTCAATCCTTACTTAACTTCTACCTCTGATATGACCAAGCGAATTAGGCAGAGGGTCTTGAAAAATCCCCGAACATTCCAAGTTCCTAAACACTTCAACTGAGATTCGAAACAGGATCAACCACACTATCGCCCAACATGATACCAACAGAAGTAATGGAGAGCCTTACTTCACTTCAATTATTAAATACAAAAATAAATCTTATATATGTCTATTAAGTTTGTTTGTTGCTCAATACGGTTCGTTATTTTAATTGCTAATAATAACAATAGCCGAAAAACCAAAATCACTAACCTATCGTCAAATTATAAAGTAAGTTAAAAGTAGGTTAA